AAAAAGCATTGTAACACTATTAAAATTTTTTAATAATCTTTTTTGTAAAAATACTCCAATCGTGTATGACTTGCAACTTGTGGGGCAAATGGTGCCAGAATAAATGCACGCCCCTCACCACCCAAAAAGAACTTTCTTAAAAACAATATGATCGTGCCGATTTTAAACACTTTTTTCAAACAAAACCACTAGGTAAATCGAAAATATGACAAAAATTCTGTTTTGAATAATAGAGTGTACTACAGAAATGTCAGGCAACACCAGCAATGGCAGACAAATGTAGTGATCAAAATAAAAAACAGACAAATACAGATGATACAGTGTCTGTATATAAAAAATAATAACTTAATTTTGGAGATATTTCAGCATTGATATACGAGGACTGACCACACGGAGGATTTCAATGTTCTTATTTTAGTGTCCACAAAGATCTTTCTCTTATTTAGTATCAGGCTCATCTTGTAACATGCATCTTTTGATATTGCTATACATTTCTTTATTTCTGTGTCGCATTTCACATCTGATATATACTTGTTTAATTTTTTTCTCCTTTGCAGCTGATGTTGCATTTTGGGTATTTGTTTTCTTTGAAAAAACCATGTAATACTATTCAGTTTCAGTTTTAAGGGCACACAAAGCTTGTTAGAACTTTTTCTAACCAATATTAACCTTCCTGGAAATTTCAACACTTTTCCCCTAATCACCAAGGGAAACATTACCCGTAACTGCTGAGAAAATTAAGACCAAGAAACCATTTTTAGCACTCTTACTCATAACATTTCAGGTTAAAAAGTGAAATTTACCAAAGTAGCTTGGAAATATGGTAATGTGCCATGAATTTTGTACAGACGAAATTAACCCTCATCCACCTTTCAGGGGCCTCGCAGGCCCGGACCCATGTATCTTTTGCTCTCTCTTCGTTCGCATGAGGTTTTGAGCCTGTTCCTTTCATATAATCCTCAAGCAACTTATACCCTATCAGTGGATAAATAATTAGTTTTGAAATAATTTACACCATATGTAGAAATTAACTTTTGGAAAAGTTAGTCCCATTTCCTGGAAACCGGGCCTCTGAGAAACATGAAAATCTGACTCCCCCTCCACAAAACTTCATAAATCTTATTTTATTTGAGTATATGAGTGTGATCTTGTAGTATGTAAAATGGAGGGTACATTGGCACTTTTTTTAGTTTGCAGGTGAATATTTTCATTAAAAAATAAAATAAAAAATGTGCACTTAACCGCCAATTGCCTCCCCTATGAAAAAGCTATTTATTTGATATTGGATGATCATTTCTACATATTGATATTGGATGATCAATGTGTGCTTATGACTATCAGTATTGTCAATGAAATCTGCCTGTGAAAGATTCAAGACCTGGAGAAATTATATTTATGAGTAATCGGTCACCTTGGTCACCTGATATGCAGATATCAGTTTAAATCTATCATTATTACATACCTGATAGACTGCCCTAGCTTTGTGAAACTTTCCATTTTGAGAAAAAAATGATTTTTCTGCATGTTCCATACACAGTGTATACTCACCCAGGTGGAGGTAAAGCGAGCAAGGGACCAGTGTAACATAAAAATCTGATTGGGGAGTCACATTTTGGGGGAGTCAGATTTTCATGGTACACCGGGCCGTTTCAGGGTTTAGGTAGGGTTCCATTTCCTTGTGGATGAGGGTTTATTAAAATAAGTAAAAGATTGTTTTGAACGGCACTACCAGGTAACCTTCAAAATGGAAGCTGGGCTGGGTGTTACTGTTTCTTCTCACTGCGTGACCGAGACAACTGCCGGTCAGTGTCTATGGTGCACAGGTTGTCTTTATTGGCAATTGGTGTCGACCGCAACCGGGTAATCTTCAGCGTTGAAGTCAGGCTGGGTTTTGTGTGCGGGTACGGTTTCTCCTCAACATGCGCTGAGGCAAATACAACTGTGGTGCGTACAATGCATTGATAACCTTAACCACGTATGCCAAGATGACCGCTGATCATTGTCTATGGCCAAATACTGGTATGCTAGGTCAATGGAAAGATTTACGGCCCTTGGGTGTCTTGCCTTGCTGTAGGGTGGGCTTAATTTTATTCTATTAAAATAAATATTAAAATAAAATAAATAAGTCGAGCTGGGTTATACACCCAGGTACGGTCTCTCCCGCAGCGTGCTGACACAGGTTATTATGATCACTATTCACTGTGCAGAGGCCGAAACAATCACAGCTTGGTGTCTAAGGCGCACCGGTAGCCTTCACTGCAGAAACAAGGCTGGGTATTACAATCTCTTGCTGCTGTGCAGGGAGGCCGAAATGATCTTAGATGGTCTGTGGCGCACAGGTAGCTTTCACTATAAAAGCCTTTATATTATGGTCTCTCTCTGCCGTGCACTGCGACTTAATTGACCGCTGATCACGTCTATGATCAAATATACTAGGTAGGGGGAGACGATGTCAGATTATGGGGTACAAAGGTAAAATTGACATATCGGCAAGATTTCTCTTTTATTTCAGCTCTTCATTACCTTCTTTATTCTGGTAATGTAATACCAACTGTTGATGCTGCTATTGTGTACCTTAAGCAAAACTATTTCACATCAAGTGCTCAGGTAAATA